GGCCATGTTGTGGTGGCTCTTGTTCAAGTTCCTTCCCAACCTGGTTCACTGAGAGAGTCGTGTAACACAAGGAGCTCTTCCTCCTCCTAGGTGTCTGCCCGTACGGAGGTTGCTGAAGATCGGTTTAGGGGAGGCATGTTTATATTTTGAGTCTTATGATCAGACTAGGAAAGCTCGGTGTGATACTTCCAGGGCACTCATAGAACACAACCTGTAGTATGAGCAGAATGCAAATATCTCCACGGCAAGTCCCAGACAGCAGAACACCTATACCTTGACACAGTTCAGAAGAGGAAACAAAACAATGGAGAAGGCGGGTCTAATATACCAGTTGATGGCTTATTGTCCTTAAGACAACAAAGGTATACACACTCCTCCCTCAAGGTACACACTCTCTTCCCTCCCCCACACTTTTTCATTTATGTGCACAACTGTGATGTCACACGTGCTTGACCTGGAAGAGTCCCTAGAGAGACCTGCTGGACTCACTGGTGGCAGCTGGACCACCAATGGATCCCACTCCCTGCTTCCCTATATTTCCAAACCATTCTAATCACATTATTCTGCCTGAAAATGTTACATAACTCTTGGGTCTATTTTAATCAAAATAGTGATTTTTGCCTAAGTCTTGACCATATCTAACAAATATTGAAAATGATGAAGTTTCTTATATTATCAAAGTGAAAATTACTGCTTTTTTGGAGAAATCTGTTGGAAAATAATGTTTAGGCAACTGTGAGAATAAAATTTTTCTACATTACATCATGTCTCCTAGGTATGTACAGAAGACTTTGTTTTTAGTAAGTAAGGGTTGCTCTAATACAGAAGTTTCAAACTACAACAGATCATGGCAGTATCTCAGATGAGTTATGGATATGATAGGATGGGAGAATAGTTCAGAGATGTATTTTTTAAAGATTATTTATTTGTTTTGAAAGTCAGGGTTGCAGAGAGTGAGAGGGAGAGACAGAGAGATATCGTTCATCCACTGGTTCACTCCCCGGATGACTGCAATGGCCAGGACTGGACCAGGCTGAAGCCAGGAGCTAGAAGCTTCTTCCAGGTACTCAATGTGGGTGTAGGGGCCCAAGCACTTGGGCCATCGTCTGCTGCTTTCCCCAGGCACATTAACAGGGAGCTGGATCAGAAGTGGAGCATCCGGGACATGAACCAGTGCCCATAGGGGATGTTGGCGTTGCAGGCAGCAGCTTAACCCACTACACCACAGTGCGGCCCCCAGAAAGGCCTTAAAATCTGAGGTTGTTGTTAGAAGAAGAGGTGCATTGCGGGGCTAGTCTTCCCAGAGGGTCAGATTGAACTAAAATGAGGCTTCAAGGATCTAAAATTTTAAGGCTCCCACTACAAAAAGCAATAGCAAAAGTGAAAAAAAAAATCATCCAAATTCCACCACCCTAACACGTTAATTGCTTTCATTTTCTCTGTTCCCTTTTAGTCCTTGATTTTATGCCATTACTTCATGTAGCTGCTATAAATACAGCATACTTGAAATGCTACATTCTTTTTTTTTTCCACTCAACTTGATATTGTGAACACTTTTTGTCTTGGGACTATTTTGGTTGCAAGGAACATTTACTCAGTCAAGTTAAAGTATCTCAGAGAAAAGTTTTGTGTGCATGTGTGTGTGTGCCTAACCTGACAGAAATCTAAGGACAGGAACCTAACGTAGCTAAGCTCCACAGGGGTAGGAGCTATCAGCTACAGAGGCTGCCCTGTCAGGCACTTGGCAGCGTGGGAGAGTGAGTCTCTGCATTTCTGCCGTGCACTCTCATAACTGCAGGTGCACGTCACTGATAATGGTCACCACAAACCACGCGACCTCACTGTTCAGAGCTTTCAAGCATCCTCTCAATCTCTCTCTTTTTTTAATTTTAATTTTTCATTTTATTTGAAAGAGAGAGAAGAAGAGAGAGAGAGAGAAATAGAGACAGAGAGAGAGAGAGAGAGAGAGAGAGAGAACACTTCCATTTGCTGGCTTATTCCCCAAACACCTGTAGCAGCCAGGGCTGGGCCAGGTTGAATCCAGGAGCCCAGAACCCAATCTGAGTCTCACAGGTGGGTGACAGGGACCCAAGTACTTGAGCCATCATCTGCTGCCTCCAGGATGTGCATCAGTAGGAAGCTGGAATTGGGAATGCAAGCAGGACTCAGACCAGGCTTCTGTCATGGGATATAGTCCTCAAAGCAGTGTCTTCACCACTGTGTTTTCCCGTTCTCTTCAGTCTCTTGAAAGTCAGATCCTGATTTATGTTTCCATCCAGGTAGGCCACAACAGCCAGAGGCTTCTGTTCGGATTGTGGGTTGGATGTCACTAGCTCAGGTGGCCACAGCTTGGTCCAGTAGGCGTGCCTGGGAAGGTGGGGTCACACCCTCCAGACTCCAGTGTGCAGGGCAGCAAGGCCATGGGTGCGGACCCCCTCAGCACTTGGGCCGTCACCCACTTCCTTCCCAGGCTGTTAGCAGTGAGCTCGATAGGAAGCAGAGCAGCCGGGACTCAAACCAGCACTTTGATATGGGATGCTGGTGTCACGAACTGTGGCTTAACTTGCTGTGCCATAATGCCAACTCCAAGAACCTTGAAATTTTTTTGTTTAAAAAGTATCTCATTTGCTAGAAATTTATGCTAAGACAGCCATGGGCACGTAATAGGATGTAACATGTGGGGACTTGCTCAAGGAAGAAAACTGGGTAGACGGCGGGTGACAGCTGAAGCGAGATTGGGGAGGAGTTGACTGTTGGAGCTGGCAATGGGTACGTGGGGTTACACTATGGACTACTGTCTGTCTCAGCTTGCCATTGACTTCCCATCTTCTCTCTCTTCCTCTACTTGCTGGATTACTTGTTGTTTTCCCCTAGATGCTTGGTAGCTACCTACTGCCCTCTGGATTCCCAAAACTTTTTCTCAGGTTCAATTACGTCTGACATCTGCTTCATGGGTTCCTTTCCCTTCTTTACTAAAATATTCGAGTCCCTCCATCTATCCGCCCATTCAGTAATGAATTCACATAGGCCTGTGTATTGGAAAAGACACTTTAAAAAATGGAAAGTGAGGGCCGGTGCTGTGGTGCAGGGGGTTAAAGCCCTGGCCTGCAGTGCTGACATCCAACATGGGTGCTGGTTCAAGTCCCAACTGCTCCACTTCCAATCTAGCTCTCTGTTATGGCCTGGGAAAGCAGTAGAAGATGGCCCAACTTCTTGGGCCCCTGCACCCTTGTGGGAGACCTGGAAGAAGCTCCTGGCTCCTAGCTTTGGATCAGCACAGCTCTGGCTATTACGGCCATTTGAGGAGTGAACCAGCAGATGCAAGACCTCTCTCTCTCTGGCTCTACCTCTCTCTGTAACTCTGTCTTTCAAATAAATAAAATAAATCTTTTTTAAAAAATGCGAAGTGAAGTCACTTTCGTTGTTTCTGACTTCACCTCACAGCTGTTAAGAGGAACGAAATCACCATTTATTCGCACCTTGTTGTAAAGGGCAGACAGCCAGCTTAACTCTCTTTGGAGTCACTGTGTGTGAGAAGAGGAGCCAGGTGTCCTGTGCTGGGGTGGGCCATGTGATGATACAGAGGTGCAACTGCAGCCAGGGCTGGGAGAGACACTCTTCTGCAACCCCTCCCACCTTCTAAAAAGATTTATTTATGTATTTATTTATTTAAAAGGTAGAGTGATAGAGAGAGGGGGAGAGACACAAAGAGATCTCCCATTTGCTGCCTCATTTGCCAAATGACTGTAACAGCTGAAGCTTGGCCATTACAAAGCCAGGAGCAAGGAACTCCATCCGGGTCTCCTATGTGGGGAGCAGGAACCCACTTGACATCACCTGTTGTCTTCCAGGCACATTAGCAGGAAGCTGGATCAGAAGCAGAGGTGGGACTCGATCCTAGGCATTCCAATATGGGATACAGGTGGGTGTCTCAAATAGCTTAACACTCTGCACCACAACACCTGCCCTTCTCTCTCACCTTTTTGCCTGTTTTTTTCTTTTTTAGCTTCTTGGAATTTTAAATTGGAAGCTACATTTTTGAGGTCATATTTAGTTAGTTAAATGGAAATGATATGTACTATAGTTCTTGGAATTTTTATAACTTTAATATAAAGCAGGAAAGAGTCTTAAGTGCTCAAGGAAATTAATATTTTATGTTCATGCTTTAAAAAAGCAAAAATCTAATAAAATAGCTTAATTTTCTATTTATTTCCCCAGACCTTAGTGGATTATAAATGGTTTGTGAGCCAAGTAAAATTGTAGGGAGGTAGTTCTGAGGTCTTTCTGATTTTTAAAGTCACAATGTAAATAAAAAACAATTCAAGGTGGTTCCTGAGCACCGGTTGGAACTGGAACCATGCCTCCAGCTCCGTAACTGCAGCCCTGTGGTCACCTGGGTTGGGCAGGAGGTGGTGCTTCCTTATCACTCCCTGGCGCTCCCCCTGCCCCCACCCCTGCACTTGGCATCTTGGAATCCAAATGCATCTTTACCAGCTTGTCTCCCACATTAGCCTGTGAGCTTTGGCGAGAACAGGGATTCTGAAGTTTTCAGCATCTAGGGTACAGTTGGGCCTCGGTAAATATCAGTTGAATTAAAGGCCAAAAACAAAACAAAACAAAATATTGCCTTAAAAAAATCCCTACTGTCTCCCTCCAAGGTTGTCTTCTTGCACTGAGAAGTCTGTGGTTACAAAATGATCTCATTCTATCATCTGAGTGTGAAGACTCCTGAGGAGAAAGTAAAAGCTACTTCAGGGAAAACTTCCCAACAGAGACTGTGAAACCCCAGGAAATTGCCCCTAAACAGGGATCTCCTGCAGGCTGGGGGCCCCCAGATTCAGAACATGCCTTTGCCATTGGCTTCCACCTTCCAGAAACAGGATTTGCTACCTGACACTAGGACAGGTCAATGCTTAGTGTTTCTCCAGCACAACTGGCCAAGGGTTTACAACCAAAGCTTATAATTTAAAACTCACAATAATTGATCCGAGTCGGAGTCTACTGTGAGCACAGCAGGTCAGCAACACGTTTATTAGGAGGCCAGCAAGACAGCAGAGTGGGGCACGGCTAAGTGTTGGGGGCAAGTTTCCTTCAACTGCCCTTCATTGGCTCCATTGCCGTTAAGCCTCCCTTCTGGTATTCACACATGTTTGTCTGGCCGGGTGGTCTGTCCTTAGGAAGGGTAGAGTGGGGCAGGGGAAAGCGAAGCAGGAGAAGTGACATGGAGCAGGTGCAGCCTCCCCTTTGAGCCTCATTACTAGAACTCGGGGCAGTTCACCTGATCTGTGACAGTCATCTTCTCAATGTCGATGTTATTGGCAGTCAGGATATCCTTCAGATAGGTCACTGTTTCAGGAGGGAGATAACGGTTTCTTCCCAAGATCCAAACATGATCCATGTGAAAAAGCCAGATGATTGTGGTACAGGAGTACACGAGCGCGTAGTTCTCATAGTCGGTGGCCAGGACCCAGTACGGGGCCGTTGGCATCACTGCGAAGGGAGACAGGCAGCATTAGGAGGGACCAGGGCAAGAGAGAAAGCTCATCTTCAGGATTCTGGAAGTTCTATTCCTTCTAGACTTAACTTGGCTTTGTGTGGGACTTGTGCAAGGACTTTGAAAGATACTAAGGGGATCTTCCCCACTCTTTCCTGAATTTGGAGGGGGTGGTGGTGGTTGGTGCTTTAAAAGGCTCATCAGTGATGCCAATAGGCAGCCAAAATTAAGAACCATCGTTGTGGTCCTTGTTCCTTGTAGTAGTGGTCTCCTGGGGGTAACTGGGAGCTTAGCTGAACCCCTGGACTGACAGGCTACACTTAGCATTGGTTCCATGGAGGTATCACTTAACCAAGTGGAGTAAAGAACATAAGGCCAGGAACCCCAGCCCTTCTGAGTCTCAACCACGCAACTTCCTTTAGAAGCTGCCTCATGGAAGAGGCAGAAGCTAGAATTTTTGCTCTTGTTTATGTCTTCCTGAATAATCTTCAAAATCCTTCCATGCTTAAGAACATGGTAAGCCAGTTACAGTGTCATAGGCTCTTACTCATCAAGTGCCTATAAAGATTCATTGATCAGAGCTGGCGCTGTGACATAGTAGGTTAAGCATCCACCTGTGTGCCAGCATCCCACATGGGTGCCGGTTCAAGTCCCAGCTGCTCTGCTTCTGATGCAGCTCTCTGGTATGGCCTGTAAAGCAGTGGAAGATGGCCCAAGTCCTGGGGCCCCTGCACCCATGTGGGAGACCCAGAGGAAGCTCCTAGATCCTGACTTCAGATTGGCCCCACTCCGGCCGTTGCAGCCATTCTCTCTCTGTCTCCCCCTTTCTCTGTAACTCTGCTTCTCAAATAAATAAATAAATAAATAAATCTTTTAAAAAAGATTCATTGATCGACATCTGTAAAGTGTTAAAAGTCAAGATTAAGGGTGTCCTTAAGAGGAGAGATGGAGGATTTACCCTCTCCATTTGCATCTAAATACTGTGAACTTGGCCTCCACAGCTAAGGTCCAAGCCAAGGAAAACCCATAGCCCAACTTGTTAAGCAGAAGTTGCCCCCAAGTGGGAGAAAGCTGTGTGTTGATCCTCTAAGCACAAAAGATTTGGGCCCATATGCAGTCTCTAGTGATTTTCTTTCCCAGTTTTTCAGTCTCCCAGCTCCTCCACTCAAAAATAATTCTTATCAGATCAGAACCAGAACTCAACACTTGTGAATGACCTGAGAAGCCACTGGCTATAGGGGACAGTGTGTGAGTGCTTAGAGCTTGGCTGGGTGTCAAGGGCCCAGCTGGTGTGCAGGACAACACAAGAGGGCTGGCCCAGATGACCAGCCACCAGGGCCGTTCCTGCCCCTGACTCTCTGCTTATAAATAGGGAAGGAGAAGGACACCTGGCAGAGTGTGGATGGACGCCTAGACTGAGTAGAGTTTCTGACTCCCTTTTATAGCACTGTTGGTGCCCTGCCTGCCTGCCTCACTCACTCTGATAGAGAGTTGTGTCCATCATTCATCTGCTGTCTGTAATCTAAAATGGTTTTGTATTCTCAGATGGCTGAGAGCTCTTTGGCACTGAATGATTTTGGACAGATACCTTCCAGCAACAGCATCCCATCCCATCTGCATATCCCAGGCGTGAACACTCTGCTTCCTCTCACAGGGTCCAGCTCTCCAAAATACACATAGATATCTCCTCTTAGGCATGGAAAGGTTCCATCTCTCTCTTTACTAGAAGATGTAGGTCTCCTATTGCTTCCAGAAGAACTTCCAAACTAACATGGGATTCAAGGCCCTCCCTAACCTCCTATTCCACACACCCTCTCATGAACCAGGCTTCTTTATCCAGCCCTTCTCCTGTGCCATTCCCTCCACTTGGAACACCCATCCCCATAATATTCCTTACAGGCTTCAAGGCCCAGTGAAAACTACCAGTCCCTCCAACTCGAATAAATCTCTCCCTTCTAGACCTCCCCAGCCAACAGGCCATGTCTCTCTTTTAATACCTGTCCCAGGTTTCCCTAAGAAGATTGGGCACATAACATGCAACCTGCATTGTAATACCTTCCCCTGATTCATGTTATGGGAGAAACGCTCAGTTGAGGGTGTGGGGGCCTGGATTTAAGACCCAGTCCTACAACTAGTTAGTTCAATGCCTGCCCACATCACTCAGCTTTCTTGCACACCAGCCTCCTTCTTGGTAAAATGAACAATCGAGGCGCAAGCAAAGCCCTCACGGTCACAGAGCAGGTGTTAGCCAGTAGAGGATCATAGTCACCCTGGTTGGTACCTGCCAAGTCAGTTGCCCTCAGCCTTGTGATTTCTTTTCCCTGCTCCTTTCTTGGTCTATAAGAACCTCCTCTCTGCTCCACTCTGGGGACTTGGCTGGTGTGGGGTGGGGGAGTGCGGGGTGGGAGTGGGGGTGGGAGGAGGAGGGAGTGCTTGCTCTCCCAGCTGGGGATTTCAGTGTCTGCCCTATGGGTGGGAAGAGGGGCTCCCTAGTGTTTCCATCATTAGAAAATCTCACAGCCCTGAGCTAAATTTGCTAGTGTATCTACACCAGCCATAAAACTAAGATTTGGTGCTTTCTCTGTCGCCTGTGTCCATTCCTCCGTTAGCTCAGATCTCAGAGGGCAGATGCTTGTGATGCAATATCTTTCAGGGTCTCCAACCATTGACTAGACAGTGGCAGAGCCAGGACTCACACTTGCCTTCATTCCCACCATCTCCTGCCTCCAGGCTTTTGCACATGCCATCTGTTCTACCAGTTTGGGGGGGCCTCGGGTTCCTTTGGGAAACAAGAGTGGACCAGGTCTCTGGCTGCTCATGCCTGTGCCCTTCCATGTGAGCCTCACCTACTGAAATGCTGACCACAGTTTTATGGCGAACCTGCTGGTTACTTATCAGTATCCACACTGGAGTGTATGATCCATAAGGACAAATGCTGGCTCTGCCTTGTTCATCACAGCATCCCCAGCGCCCAGCCCAGTGTGGGGGAGTGCAGGAGGCGCTCAACAAATGACTATGTTTTGAATCATTGTGGATACACTCCCAAGAGACAGGCATGCTCCAACCTACAGTTCCAGCCTTCAGTCTTTATCTCCCATCCTCGAAACCTCACGTTAGGTGTGGGTACTCACACTGGAAAAACTTCACTCCCAACTTGGCGGGCTCCGTGAGGTTGCTCTGGGTGGCTTGGCCTTCAATTTGATTCACAGTTCCATCAGGTCTGCGATGAATTCAAACAAAACAACAACAAAAAACAAAATTAAAAATCAACCTGAACTCCTGGAAAGCCAAGAATGAATGTGTGACATGGTGATATCATAAATATTTATTTAGTTTCTGCCCCCAGTTCCTGGCACACAGCTCCTAAATCTCTCAGAACGTCCAGAGTGATGAGTGTCTGTTATGTGCCAATGAGAAGACAGGTAGCTGGGGACCCCTTCATATCTTCAGGATGGAGCTGATGGCCGGGAAGATCAAGGCATGATTAGAGGGCTGGGATTTTCAGCTCCAGGGAAGAGAGGTGGGATTGATCACCAATTGCCACTGATTGAGTCATTGCCAGATCATGAAGCCTCCATAAAAACCCTCAAGGACGGGGGTTCAAGTGCTTCCAGATTGCGAGCTCGTGGAAGCGTGTGGAGGGTGTTGTGACTGGGAAGGATGTGGAAGCCCCCACGTCCCTTCCCACAGACTCTGCCCTCCATCCATATCCTCTGCAATGTATTTTACAATACATGGGCAAATCTAGGTTCTGTGAGCTGCTCCAGGACATTGATAGAACAGAGGAAGGGGCTGTGGGAACTCCAGTTGGTAGATGGTCAGTCAAAAGCCCAGGCCACAGCTGGGGGCTTGCAGCTGGCATTTAAAGAGGGGACGGCCTTGTGGAACCAAACTGTTCACCTGTGGATCTGACACTATCCCCAGGTGGGCAGTGTCGGAACTGAATGACGGCGTTCCCAGCTGGTGCCTGCTGGAGAGCCGCTTTTTGGCTGGGAGAAATCCCCACCCATTCTGGTGACAAGAGGTGAAGTGTTCTGTGCTGTGTTGAATGTGTAAAAAGAAATGCAAAAGACACCAGGGGCCCTGGCGGCTAACACTGTGATTTCTGCCCTGAGAGGCTCCCAAAGGCAGCCTAGACCCTGGCTCCGTTGTGGAATCACTTGATTTGGCCCTGCCAAGGCAACCACAGGCTGGACTTGAGATTCAATAAACATATAGCAGGCCAGTTTTTAAGTTGGTAATTTCTTATGGCCTGCAAATGGTGTTATGAGTATCCAAATGGCTCTTGGCAGGAAAAGGTTGCCCATCTCTGCCTCAAGTGGCTGCAACAGCTAGGACTGGGCCAGGTGGAAGCCAGGAACCAGGAACTCCATCCCGGTCTCCCACATGGGTGGCAGGGGCACAAGTATTTGGGCTGTCCTCCACTGCCTTCGCAGGTGCATTAGTAGCCAGCCAGGCTGGAAGCAGAGCAGCTGGACCTCACACCGGTACTCTCATATGGGATGCCAGCCTCGCAAGTGACAATATGCTGCACCACACCCCGGTCCTCTTTTCTCTTTTTTGAACAAACAAAAGCTTTAAAGAACGAGAAGGGGCCAAAGGAATGAAGAAGGACTAATTTGGACAACCGAAAATAATGCGAAATAGAGAGTCTGGAGATCCACAAGCCTTCCCCGGCTTGGGGCCTCGGTGACATCCGCCCCAGCCGGGGGCCTGAGCGCTGAGGCCCCTTCCAGCTCACCAAGCATCTGAGCGTAGGGGCTTTCTTCGCAGGCAGTGTGAGGAGACATTCACCTTATCTCAGTGAGTATCGGCTGCGCCCAGATCTCAGGGGCATGAAATGTACAGAAATGCGCACTTTCCATTTGATTCCACCCGACACCGTGGGCAGGGCCTTCTCTGTCTTCCTGCTAGGCGAGATGGTCACGTATCCTAGCAGCGATGGCCTTAGGTTGGATGAAACATTTACACCCTCTCAAAGGGACCTAGTCACATCTCTGGATAAGTCCCAACCATCCCACGAGCCCAGGAGAGGGAAGAAAGGTCTGGAGAGGGGCAGAGAAGTGCGGGTGCTCGGGTATTGCGATGTGACACTCTTCCTAGCAGACTTGTGGAGGAGCTGCCTGCCCTTCCGTCCTCAAACGGCACAGGCAAATGAAAACTGGAGAAATCGTCCGTGTTAGGAAGTCGTTAGGTTAGTGCTGTACTTAGCGGTGCTGGATGGCCTAGAAACCAGAGGATGGTAGCAGGGCCGGGAGCTGGGGAAGCGGGCGCTCCCACGCCTGGCCACATCTTCTGTTTATTACCAGACAGGCCTGGGACCTTGCCTTGTCCTCTCACCTAGAACTCAGACAGCTGCGGAAGACCCAGGGTTTCTGTCTGCACACGGTAACTTAGCAACAGGCCAGGCTCTGCCCATTGTCACCTGCATTATTTTCCAGAACTGTTCTTAAAAAAACCTCGCTCTGATCACAAACTCACACCATGTTCATGGGGAAAACACATTTGTATTTTCAAGGGTAGCAGCAGATTCCCAGTAACAGGCAATACTTACTCAATGATTATTACACACCGGACCCTGTTTTGCTGAGTGCTTCACACGTATTACCTTAGTTAACGCTCAAACAGCTCTGTGGAGGTAGATTCTACTATCACTGCCATTTTACAGATGAGGAAAACTGAGGCCTAGAGAATTGTTACATTTAATCTAAGATCACAGAAGAAGAGGCAGAACTAGGATTTGAAACCAGGCAGCCTAATTCTAGAACCTGAGCCCTTCTTCTCCCAGCCCTACACCAGCTGTGTCGGGCCTCAGATTCTGCACTGGACAAGAGAGAAAGTTCCAGCTTAGCCCCCTGCTGTGCCCCCCACTCCTGCAATCCTTCTGGAAGGACAAACTCACCATTTTCCTGAACTAACAAACTTTTTTCCAAGTGCCCCAGGGTCTGAAACCCGAGTAAGCCTGGAGGCAGAGCAACCTAACACTTGGGACACAGTGAAAGAGGACTCCTGGCCAGCTCCCCGGGAGAGGTGGGGGCAGGGGAGGGAGCTCCTGGGCTTCAGGGTCTGTGTCACTGGCACTTGTTCTTAGGATGTGACTAACTATGTGCAGTGGGGTTGTGGTAGCTGTGGCCCATCAAACTCTTGTGAGATCTTCTGGGGAATCTGTGTCTGGGCGCCTGCAGCCCTTCCATGGGGGTCTGAACTGAGCTGGGTTTTTCTCTAGAGGTGCACAAGGCCTTTACTTGCTTCTCTGGTGTGTAGGGGGGCCTGGTTGCCACCCACTGGGGTGTGGCTCATAGGAAGGCTCCAAGGGGCCACAGAAAGCCTCTCGTGGCCTGGGCAGGCCAGACAGGGTCTCCTTGGAGTTGAACACAGTTCAAAGATCCTGTAGGGAACAGGAAGGACACCCCTCTACCCCAGCCTTTCTCTCATTTGTTTCCTGGTCTTTAAAAATGTTGGTAGGCACCAGCACTGTGACGTAGTAGGTTAAGCCTCCGCCTGTGGTGTCGGCATCCCATATGGGCACTAGTTCGAGTCCCAGCTGCTCCACTTCTGATCTAGCTCTCTGCTATGGCCTGGAAAAGCAGTAAAAGATGGCCCAAGTCCTTGGCCCCTGCACCTGCGTGGGAGACTCAGAAGAGGCTCCTGGCTTCTGGCTTCAGATTGGCCTAGCACCGCCCATTGCGGCCATTTTGGAGAGTGAACCAGCAGACGAAAGACCTCTCTCTCTCTCTCTGTTTCTCCCTCTCTCTGTCTGTAACTCTACCTCTCAAATAAATAAATCAATCTTAACAGAACAGAAAAAAAAGTGTTAGTAATAGTACCTACCGCAGGGTGGTTGTGGGGATTAAATTGATGTGTATTACACACACACACACACACACATACAAAGGGAGAGTGATGCCTGGCCCACAGGAAGGGCATAAAGGCCGGTTATTGTTGCTGAGATCTTTGTTGGAGGAGGGTAGGGAGGAAGGCACTCTTGCAGGGGCTTTTTAAAAATTGGCATTTGCTTGCCAGGGTGTAGATTGTTGGCTCATATGTTACTGTTAGAAGCCCTCTGTAATGGAAATCTGCACTTCAGGACATCCTGTTATACAACCCAGAATGTGAATGCACATCTATTTGGTTTCTGCTTGCAAAAAAACTAGGTAAAGCCACCTGGAGATGAGGTCACCTGTTATGGAAGGCAATGAACCCCCAGTTCCCGAAGTATCCAGCAAGGCTGGGCGTCCCCTGCCAGTCACTGATGTGGGAGGGGCTTCGGGCCTGGTTTGAGGTCACACAAGACGCTCCCTGAAGTCCTCTGTGAACAGAGTATTTATCTGCTATGATGGCACGCACCTGTCAGTCTGGGTCACCGTCAGGGTATACAGAAGGTGCTCAGCAAGTGAGTATGGAAATGAGGGAGTGGGCTCCGGTCCCCACGGTCCCTGCCTGCACAGGATTGTCTCAGTGGCCACAGTGAGCAGCCGTGGAGACCCCGTGGTGTGCGCCTCGGCCCTGGACGCCCTCCGGGATGCCGCTGGCCACTCACCTCAACTCCTGATTCAGCACTTTGATGTTTCCGTTCTCCATTAGTGAGTAGTTGGCCTGGATGCAGTTTCCTTTCTCAAAGCTCACCGGGATCTTCTCAATTTCGTACCATCGTCCGAGATACTGCAGAGACAACAAGAAGCAGAGCCAAGCCCCGTGCTGGCCGGGGACCTGCAGACTCTTCCCCATTGTGGTCTCTCAGAAGCAGAGCCCTTCCCCAGGGGAAACCAGGCAGAATGGGCTGCTTTGTTCCCCGCGGCCAGCGAGCAAGACACCGAGGGGATGGCCCATCTGTGAACCGGCTGTGCGGGCACCGGGTGAATGAATGCTACATTCTATTCCTAAAGGGCTCTTTCTTTTAGAGATGTTCTCAGTGTCCCTTTCAGCCAAAATCTGTGTGAAATCCCAGCCTCTGTAAAAGGAAGGGGTTGGCCTGGATGGCATGAGGCACCTTTCATCTCAAGCATTTTATGATTCGACAAGGCGACTTTGAGATGTCTGCAAAGCCACATGTGTGCAGTGTATGCAGGTTTCCCCCTACGACCCTGCACAGGGAGCGCTCAGTAAGTGTGTTATAACCCAGGTGATTAGGATGGCGAGTCCTGTGCCATCCCTCCGCTGGGGGCTTGCTCTCAGGCCGCAGCTTCAGGTATGTGGAGTTACCTGGAAGGAAGCTGCCACTGTGTTGGGGGGTGGGGTGGGGAAGGGCACCCTCATGCTTCCTTCCGTGCAGGCCTGGCATGCAGACCGTACCAATTTACAACCTCTGAAGAGGGCAGCTTGGCAACACCCAGCGAGGCTAAAAATATGTATGCTGTTTGGCCCAGAAGCTTCGCTTCTGAGAATGCATCCTGATATAAGAAATGAGGTTATTTGTTGCAGTACTGCTGGTGAGCGTAAAAGTGAAAGCCACCTAAGTGAGATCAGGAGGGGGCCGGTGCATAAATGCCAGCACATCTCTGCCATAGAGTTGCAGGCATCCTCTTTAAAAGAGAGACTTGCATTACCTCTAAGACATAGTTCACGAAAAAAGTCCAGCACAAAATAGCATCTGTAGCAAACTACTTTTTGTGTAAAAAATGGAGGAAAAGGTTGTTATATTAAGTTTCTATTGTTGTTACAACAAATTACCACAGATGTAAAGCACTATGGATCCCTTATCTTATAGTTCCATTGGTCAGAACCCTGACCCAGGGCTCACAGGGCAAAAATCAAGGCACTGGCTGCGCTCCCCTCTGGAGGCTCACTGAGCTGGGCTCTCTTGTCTGTTTGGGTCCCAGGGGCTGCCTGCTTCCCTTGGCCTGCCACCCCCTTCTTCATTTTCGAAGCCAGCGAAACCAGGTCAAAGCTTTCTCACACTGCATGTCTCTGATCAGTCCAGCATCACACATCTCTGAGCACAGCCAGGAAAGATTCTCTGCACTTCTGGAGTTATTTAAGGGTCACACTGGGCCCACCCAGATAATCCAGGCTAGTGTGGCCATCTGAAGGTGCATATCTTTAATCACATCCACAAAATTTCTCTTTCCACAAAAAGAAATATACCCACAGATTCCAGGGGCTAGAGCATGGACATCTTTGGAAGCCACTATCATGCCCACCACAATTATATTACACGTTTGTGCATGTATACGTTATCTCCTGAAAGATACACAATTTGTTGATTGCTGGTTGCTACTGGGGAGGGAAACTGAGTTATAGAGGTGGGAGGGATGTTCTGGACCTCTAGAATTTTGAACCATGTGAATATTTTCCTAGTCAAAACATTAGTTGAAATTAGTATATACATTTAAAGATGTATTTATTCAACAAAGCAAAGAGAAACACTTTCAAAAACTCAGAACTTTGAAAGAGAGAAAACAAAGGCAGGACTGTCTCAATCACAAGTGTATACCTGTGTTTCTGATTGTACACTCCCCACTCGTTTACTGAGGACAACTCTCAATGAAAGCCACTGAACTCAGGACCAGTGCCTGGTGTAGCCAATGGGATAAGCTGCTGCTTGTGTCACAGAGAGTCCAGTTATAGAATCCAGAATATAGAAAGAACTCTTACATCTCAATAATAAAAGGATAAATTGCCCAATTAAAAGACGGGCAGCGCTGTGGCATAGTAGGTAAAGCTACTGCTTGTGATGGTGGCATCCCATACGATGCCAGGTCCTGTCCTGGCTGTTCCACTTCCAATCCAGCTCCTTGCTAATGCACCTGAGAAAGCAGCAGAAGACGGCCCAAGTACATGGTTCCTGCCACTCACGTGAGAGACCTGGACAGATTTCCAGGCTCCTGGCCCTTGGCTTCATCGTGGCCCAACCTGGGCCATTGTGGCCATTTGGGGATGAACCAGCAGATTGAAGAGCTGTCTCCCTCTCTCCCTCTTTGTAACTCTGCTTTAAAAAAAAAAAAATGAAAAAAGATGGGCAAAGGATTCGAATAGAAGATACACAACTAGTCAATAAGCACACTGAAATATGCTCAACATTCTCAGCCATTATAGAGATGCAAATCGAGCCCACAGTGAGATACCACTTCACAACCACTACAACTGGTTATAATCAAAGGCAACAATAGCCATTGTTAGAAAAGATATGGAAAGACTGGAATTGTACATTGTTGGTTGGAATGTTAAATGGTGCAGTCTTTGGAAAACAGTGTGTGTGGCCCTGCCACAGCCCCGAGAGACCTGGATGGCATTCCACCCCTGGTTGTTGTGGGCACTTGGAAAGTGATCGCTCTCCCTCTTTCAAATACATAAAAATAAACACAAATATAAAGAAACCCTTCTAATGAGGACATGTCTTAAGGGTGAGACCGTAGGCCTGAGTCAGCAGCCGTGGGATCTCTGAGTGGTGCCGTCCAGTAGCTACCCCTATGTGCTGCCTGCTTCTCTCCCTCCATCCCAAGGAAACAGATCATTTTGGGGGGAGCTGATGACGTTGATACTTGCAAAGCAGCCCTGGGCAGATTGGCAGCAACCCCACCTGGGGACAGTGTTTAGGAGGTGACAGGCCTGCAGCAGGGGCTGTCAATGCCCTGTCCCATATCCCTGCAGCCCCCACCTGTGCCACCGTGGGCAATTCCCACCCTCTGCAGGTTTCCCACCTGAGCTCAGCCAGAGGTCTGCTGGCCCCCCGCGAGGGCCCTAGGAGCTGCACTGTACTCGCTTGCTTGCTCAGCAGATCCCCACCCGGGCTCCCTTAGGGTTTCCCGGCCTCACCCTCTCACCTTCCCGGCCCACACCCCACTCCCATACACCCTCTGCCCTCAGTCCTCAACGCAGGGTCTGGAGACCCCAAACAAGTAAGTGCATGTCCCCAGGCTTGCGGGGACGTGAGAGAGAATTGTGCCACGATGCTTGTTCAAGAAAGAGACACGGCAGCCTCTGACCACACCTTGTGCACGTCAAAGTTCTCCTGCACGGGAGGGGTGGGGCACCTGCCCAGGTGGAACGCCTGCCCCTGCGCCACGGAGATCAGGCCGGCCAGCGCCGGGAGCAGCAGCAGCAGCGTGGGCGCCATCTGGGGGCCGGCGGCTGCACCGGAACCTGGAGCTGCGGAGGAAACAAAGCCGCTGGAGTTGTGAGCCTGCAGAGGCCGCGCAGCCCCGCCCCCGCCCCCTCAGCCGTGGGGACCCGTGCCCCCTCAGGGGACCCCGGTTAACAGCGCCGCCGTCAGGCCGTCCTCCCCTCTGGCACACTCTGCCGGGGTTTAGCGCGGATTTCGCTAACCCACCCCCATCCTAATTTATTAGGCCTTTCTCCAGGGTGCGGGTCTTCTCTGATTCACCCCCCACCCCGACCCGGGACCCTGGAGTGTCAGACTCAGAAAGGAACAGCAGCGGCGTGGGGCAGCGGCAGGTAAAGCGGGCGAGAGAAGCCTTCCAGCAAGCCGTGAGAGGGAAAAGCTAAACAAACAAAATCGTGTGCAGGGTTTGAAGTCTTAGGCCTCCCTGTTGGCCAGCCTGAGAGTGGGCCTGGGACCTCCACAGGGAGCGGGGCGTGTATGTTTTGGGGGGGGGGACCTCCAGGGTCACCCCGAATGGGCTTGAGTTCTGGCTCTGCTGCACAGTAGTGTCCTGGGTCTATCTGTGCCTCAGTGGCTGTCTGTGAAGTGGGACTAACACTCATAGCTGTGAGCAATCCATGAGATGACCTAGTACTTCAGTCTCAGTGCTCCGGGATCCCTAGTTGTTGTTGAAAGGCAGCTACAGATGATTGCATTATTGCATTTCCCAAACTTCCTTGTTTTTGACATTCTATTCAGAGTATTTTTCATAGACACTGGGCATTTAACCAGGGAAGGACCTTCAGCTGATGGGTGATTGTGCAGCCAAGTGTTCCAACCGGAGGGTCCTGAGGAGGGTTAGCCCGCTAGGGGAGGGAGATCATGCCCGGCCCCCAACCTCTCCCCCTCCCCCCACTTGCTGGCCTTGAACTCCTGCTTCCTCCCTTCCTTGTGGCTGCTTAGCCGGTAGCTAAGCTAAGCTGCCACGAGCTATTTCCAGCTCCTTGCCTCTCCCTGGATGAGGCTGACTGAGTCAACGCATGCACAGTGTTCTCAGATCTGAGCATTTAAAAGGCTGTGTCATAACAGGCATAATTATAACCACTTTATTACAAGCCTCGGAGCCTCCAGATAACTTTAATAATCAATAGCTTGTCTTCTGGAGGCTTCCTTGCCTGGTTTTCAAAAGAACGGTTATGTAATGAGGGAAAGCTACCAGCTGAGGCTGGTGGGGGAGGGGTGGTAGCAGAGCCCCCTCCCCCACCAGCCTCACCCCCCCCCCCCCCCAGTGAAGTCTGCCTGGCACCACCTTGCTTCCTCTGGGAGACTCCTTTTCCCCATCCGCTCCCACCACCAAATAAACGCCTCCTGTCTTTTAACCTTTTCAGGGATGATGGGCTTGCAGGAATGCAACCCAAGCCCACAGAAATCTGTGTTCATTTTCAAGAGATTCTCAGAACCTCGGCGGCTCATCTCAGAAGACCCAAGCCAAGTGCCCTGTACAGAGAATCTAACTGCAGAGGGTGGCCACTCTATGCATGTTCTGCAAGACTCCCCCCAACATGGACAGGGCCTTGGAGGGCACCTAGCCAGTCCCCCCCCCACGCTGTCTTCCAAGTGTGCGGATGGGGAAACTGAGGCCTCGAGGGGAGAAGCTGTGACTCCAGCCTCGGCCCCCGGCTTCCTCCTGTGCACGCTCCTGTGCTGTCTTTCCATGAGCACTTGCCTCTGTGACCTGAGACGAATGTGGCGTCAGCACGTGACAGTTAGAACAAAAGGCAGTTCTCCATCTGATTCTGACAAATGTCTTATTACAAAGCGTTCCTGGTGGGCTGGAACATATTCTTTAGCTCTGTGGGAGGATTTCAGAACAAGACTAATCCCCCTGATTGCACCTCTCCCAAAGATGCTTCTTGGCTGCAGTAGCTTAATTCCCATGGTCAGAGCTCCCTGTGAGATGCAGGATTGATAGCATCGCCAGCATTTTCCAATTCCCCTTCCGTGGGGGTCACCCAACACTTAGCGAGCGTGTTATTAAGGTATGCCTATGACCTTGGATGACATATAGATTGCATACGACATACACTTATATTTTTCTTGCCCAAATGAGAGCTTTAAATACTTTCAAAAGGAGATAGAATTTATTGGATATTATTTTAAATTGAATATTAAATAACTAAAAAGTAATTCCACTATGGCAACACTGCATCTATCTTGGACCAGGCACTGCCTGCGAATCTCTGCATACACCCATTGATCTTCTTCATGGTGAGGGCTTGGCATTAGTGTTTTAAGTGTGTTCTGCCCTGAGTCTCTACAACACCTCATCTGGAAATGATCTCTGCAGATATTCTCTTTGTCCTAATGGAGATAATGGCCCCAGTTCCTCCCCTTCGGTAAACCGCGAAGCCAGAATTTAAGCTCAGCTCTCCTAAGAGCCCTTGCTCTTGGTGCGTGGGGGTTTCTGTGGACACAGTCCTGTATCTCTGGGAGCTGCAGATTTTAAGGTTGCACATACAAAATAAAACATGTTGCCACAAGTAAATACATCTTTAAAAAAAAAAAACCCACTTGGCCACCAACTCCAACAAGAATGGAAGGAAATATTTCTATGCCATATTGTGAAGTGCATTTTCTATTCCCACAGTTAGTTCCAGGTTTCACTTAATTTCACTGTAATGCACAGTTGGATAACTCCATGAGAACTCATCTAGTGCGGTACTGGTGCGTGGAAAATTGTCTCATTGTTTCATTCACAAGGGGGAAGGCATAGCATAAACAGAAGGCTTGGGGTGAGTCAACATTGACTTTGGTCTTATCTTAGGCCTGATGCTTATCACAGCTGTGCCTCAGTATTGGCACCTGAAAAACAGCACTAATAATACCTACCTTGTATGTTAGTTTGAAGAAAAAGTGAGACCAAGTTCATAAAGCTACTACATAGGCCCTCGATCGGTGGTTCTGAATTTTAGTTGAAAGGGAACAATGAAAGACCATGACTGCTTCTATTTTAAGCATTATTTATCATAAATGAAAACTTAACTATGGTACATACCTTTTTTTTTCACCAAGAAGAGAGTGATGTCCACGAATTCATCCGACGTGAGATAGCTCTCTTGGTGACTGGCTTCTCCCACGTTATTTATAAGCTTCATTGGGTCATTAGGCCTTAATCTGCATGCATGCCACACCCCCTACAGTTCTGAGAGCTGGCCTAAAAGCCCAGCTCTGTATGAAACACAGATGGGATGTTGTGTCCATTCCCCTGCCCCCGGTTTCCTTCACAGCTGCTCTCCTAAGAAGAAACAAGGAGTTATTGTGTGTGCGTGTGTGTGTGTGTGTGTATGTAAATGAGACAGGGAGAGAAAGCACATTTTCATTCAAAACATCTTTTTTGCTACGTGGACTTCTTTGATTTAATTTTTTCCAGTCAGATGCACTTTTAAATTCCAGCAAGATGAGTTGCAGTATGTTTTCAAACAGCTGGTATTTATTTTTCATTTTCTGTAAATGAACAGTCAACAGTTCCCTTTTCTAATACAGAGTCTGGACTCCACCCCATGTGGTTGCTGGACCGGAGTGGGGCTCAGTTAGCAGAGAGGAGTAGGAACCAGAGCTGCTTTGCTGTGGTGTCCTGGGCAAACCCTCAGCTTCCCTAAGCCTCAGAGTCCTCTTTGTGCAGTAGAGGTGGTCACTTCTGTCCCCTCCTGAGCTGCATGTGGAAGGGAGGGAGGTACCAGCTCTGCAAGCCCAGAAAGCAGAAGGTGGCTCCGGTGGCTCCTCTTTCTGTGCCTTCAGGACCCTGCCAGCTCCATGTGCTAGGCAGCCCATCACTGCTGGGGGGGGTCCTGCAATTCACCCAAGGCAGAGTAGGCGCTGACACGTGAGAAATCCCGCAGAGCACAGGCATGCTGAAGAACAGGCGGCTAGGAGGATGAGTGCAGGGCCCATCCCAGATCCACTTCAGCAGCCTGCGGGGGAGGGGTGGGGGGACTGCCGAAGGGACTGCCGAAGGGACTGCCTCGAGGGACGTGGTAAGCATCCCGGCCTGGGGGACACAGCCTAACTGCTCAGGTACAAGTAAGGACCCCTCTGTCCCAGCCATCTGTGATTTCAGAGCGGTCCCGTGTTAACAGTGCTAGCGTGTTAGGCACACGCCATGCTGTGAATGGCCACCCGTGGGCAGCAGCGGAAGGAAGGCTCAGGGGACTGGACACGGGCACTGGGAGGCCAGGCCTGGCTCAGGTCTCCTGAGACCTCGGGGACCAGGCAGCTTGTGCTGTCCTCTCAATGATGTGACCGCCAACGGGGACATAAGCCCTGTCTTATTTCAGCGTGGGTGTCCCAAGAGGCCATTACCACGTTATTGTCCACACCGAGGGAGTGATCCGCCAGCCTCTCCTGGGAGCTCAGCGTCCTCCTCCCAGTAGACCCATGGGAAGAGGGCAGGTCTGGGGTCAAGGCCCGAGTGTGCGAGGCCCAGGCTGATGATCATGTGGCCTTGGCCTTGGCCTGGCCCCCTTCTGCCAGGTCCCAGCTGCATCCTCTTTCTGGCCCCCTGAAAGTCCTGAGCATGTGCTACCTGGTCTAGAGGAGCCAGGACACAGGCAGGGCAGGGGAGGCAGAAGGGAGGCTAGGGGAGGCTCAGACAGGCGGGCGACCATCAAACCCTGCCACCTGCCCCACTCTGCTGGCGCCCTGGTGTCTGAAGCCCATCAGCCGTGCTCCAGCTCCCAAAGCGTCAGCGCTCTCCAGGGCTGAGGCTCCTGGGAAGCCCAAGACTGGGTCCCCGTGTCCTTTCCAGCGGTGCGCTCACCATGGGCAAGGAGGGAGAGAGCCAGAGAGTGGGTGAGGAAGGAGGGCAGGTGGGGAAGGCGCTCCCAGCCTCCGTACCAGGAGGGCCCACTGAGTTGTCTTCAGGTGAAATTGTTTACGTGGAACTGAAATGCAAATCCTGGGCTCCCTGGTCTGCACTTGGTGGGTCTGCTGGGATGGCCAGTGGTTGAGCAACCCAGAGTGTGATTTTTTTTTTAAGATTTTATTTATTTATTTGAGAGACAGAGTTACAGACAGTGAGAGGGAGAGACAGAGAGAGAGGACTTCCATCTGCTGGTTCACTCCCCAAATGGCTGGAGCTGTGCTGATCCAAAGCCAGGAGCCAGGTTCTTCTTATGGTCCCCCATGTGGGTGCAGGGGCCCAAGCACTTGTGCCATCTTCTACCACTTTCCCAGGCCATAGCAGGGAGCTGGATCGGAAGTGGGGGCAGCCGGGACTAGAACTGGGATGCCAGTGCCGCAGGCGAAAGATTAACCTACTGAGCCACGGCGCCAGCCCCCAGAGTGTGATTATTAAACTGACAGTCACAAAGCAGCTGTGAGGAAGCCAAGAGGCACAAACTCCCCGAGGCTGGCTCTGGAGGCTTTGCAAATTCCAAACAACTTTGCCAACGAACTGTAGTAACCCAGCTGCAGGCCAAAGAGGGCAAGCCTCACTCCAAGTGCATCCTGTCCTTGTGGAGCTGTTCTGACCCCAGATTTCTCGTATGTGTTGTTCTCATGGTCTGACTCCCACAAGCTTGACCCCACGCCACTTCCCGGAGCTGCCTTCCGCGCTCACATCCCGCACCCTTGTCTGCGCACAGGTGATGGGAGAGGGTGGTGAGCAGTCTCCACTCGGAGCTTCCCCAGGTTAGGAGCGTCCACAGGCTAAAGAGCTGAACTGAGGCATAAAATAAGGAAGAGACCTGGGAGAGAGGAGCAGAGGAAGCGCACGCTGATTGGTAGCAGAATGAGCTTGGCCCTCGCTGGCTTTCTGCATTTTCCAGCAGTCTGCCCAGTCCAGGGGATCCAGGTGGGGCTGACTCCAGCCCCAAAGCCTATAGACAAGGCAGCACCTTTGGCATAGACCTAGATTCCAGGAGAAAGTTCATTTGCAAATTTGTAAACAGGGTGAAGCTAGGAACACTGGGCCTTAGAAATAGTAAAGCCACCACAACCCCCAGTCACCACCCCGAGTCTTGAGTATTCCTGCCATGGGAGGGGTTACTTTGGGGGCACTCTTCCCCCTTTTATCAAGGTCAGGGTTCCAGTTCCCACCTTGGCTCTGAGCCTCTGCTCTGATTCTGTAGCGCTTTCCCCTTGGAACTCCTCACAGCTGCCTCCCTCACCCCTTCCTGCTCAAATGCTTTTCTTTAAAGCGCCTTTCTGGCCTTACCAAAACAGCACTTTAGCTGCTTCATTATATCCTTATCATATCTTTACTTGAAATTATATCTGTATTTACCTGTTTCCTTGCTGATGGTGTTTCTCCCACTCGGCTGACTCCCTGCTGTACCCCGGTGGCTAGGGCACATGATAAGTGCTTCACAAATGCTTAAAACTTGACCAGAAGCTGTCTAAGGAATTTAATAATGATCTAAGATATACAAAAGGATCTAAAAGTAATGGTCAAGAGCTTTCTATTTGCATTGTTTGCCCGGGAAAGTCCGAGCTCATGAGTTTGTACCGTTATCTTCATCACATTTGTAATTAAGAACTGCCACTGGGGCTGGCGTTGTGGTATGCTGGGGTAAGCCATCACCTTCAACACTGGCAGCCCATATTGGAGCACCAGTTCAAGTCCTGGCTCCGATGCTTCTGATCCAGTTCCCTAGTAATGCATCTGGGAAGCAGCAGATGACGGCCCAAGTAATTGTGCCCCTGCCTCCCACATGAGAGAACATGACAGAGATCCCTGCTCCTGGCTTCTGCCTGGGCCTGACCTCACCCTTGCAGCTATTTGGATAGTGAACCAGTGAATGGAAGATCTCTCTCTGTCTCCTCTCCTTGCTCCTCTGCCCCCATTGCTCTACCTTTCAAATAAATAAATCTTAAAAAAATTGCCTCTTTTTGAAGAAATGAGCAATTAGTCCATCTTCAACTTCACAGAAAGTTTGCCACGTGGCCGGCATTGTGGCGTAGTGGGTAAAGCTGCCATCTACGATGCTGGTGTCCTATATTGGCATCAGTTCAAGTCCCAGCTGCTCCACTCCCAATCCAGCTCCCTGCTAATGCACCTGGAAAGGCAGCAGAGGATGGCCCAAGTGCTTGGGCCCCTGCACTCATGTAGGACAACTAGATGAAGCCCCTGGCTCCTGGCTTTGGTCTGGCCCAGCCTTAGCCCTTGTGGCCATTTAGGAAGTAAACCAACAGATGGAAGATACCTTCCTCTCTCCTTCTCTCTCTGTAACTCTGCCTTTCAAACAAATAAAACAAATCTTTGAGAAAAATTTTCCTGTACTCTGTCAAAAGACAACATTAAAGCAAATTTAAGGTTGCTTGTTATTATGATTCCAGACTCAAGTAACAGCTCATTCTGTGAAATAGAATGAGTATCCGGGTGAGCTGAGCAGGGAAGCTTGGCTAGATGGACAGAGAAGGACTGATGGGAATGGAAGCAGCGAGAGAAAAGCAGGCTGGTCATTTCAGAGTCGCTCTCCTTGTAATGCTAATCAGGGTGGCTTTCCTGACCATGCTGACCACAATCTCCCTGTTTGAGGATTTGCCTAGTTTCTTTCTCCTGATTTCTTGGAAAGTCAGAGAAACAACTCAGTTGTAGCTTAGTGGCCTGGAACCTGAGTGGATAACTCCATTTTGGATTGGTCTATTGGGCCTAGTGTAGGCGCTCAGTCCAAACCAATGGTCCCTATAAATTTTATTTCACAATTCTAAGCAGTATTCCACAGGGTAACATTCCAAGGATCTGTAAATGGGTGAGTGGTAGCTCCATGTATCCGTGTGTTTTATTCCTCAGTGTTAACCAGTACCCGCGGAGCTGAAGATGCAAGTCTAGGAACATAGCATGAGAAAAATCACATCCTTTTAGGCCTCAGTTTATTTTTTCCTGTAAATGTTGGAAAATGATACAATCTAGGGAAATCCTGTCTTTACAGGGTTCTGGAATGTAGAGCCAACCACAAATTTCTAAAGTTTCTAAAACCAATCAGACTAAACAAGTTCTAAACAAGTCTATTTCTTAATTCCAAAATAATACACACTTATCCTAAATAATTAAAATACTACATAAATGTAGGACTCAGAACATGTATGTACACCATAAACACACAGCTC